AAACTCGTTCTTACAATTAAATAAATACAACATTAGCATAATAGGCCCATTTAATATGACCTTTCAATCGTGCCCTAATCCTAATTTCGTACTCGTACAATGCAAAATACATATTTGATTAGGTTGGTTGGCCATCAAGTACCATCCTATGGTATCCAATTCATATATCACCAATACCATAGTACAGAGTTATGTTAACAGCGAGTCATAAATAAGACTAATATACTAAATTTGCATTTAATTAATTGTAAGGATGAGATTACATTGTGAAATGGCCGCGATGTACCACGGATCATTTTAGTACTAAAAAATCATTAAAACCAAGCAGTTCTGCCATACGTCGGTCGTGCATGGACATATTTCATTCAAACTTGGTATGTCCATTAAACATAATAGGACCAAGATTGGTTATTTTCCCCCCAGATCAAAATGACTGACTAATTGCCATTTTGTTTTTAACAAATGCTGTTTTGCAGCCATATTGTTAACATGGCTGGAATGATCATGAACACATTCGCACATGCATCTATTACAGAATCTAATTCAAGATGGCTGATTGTCATTTTCGTGTTAGAAATATAATATGAATGCCATGGGCACAGTAGAGGAAGGAAACACACAAATTTTCTGACTCCACTTTCTATCATGTCTGTCACATAAGTGTAAATATTTATTTGGCACTAATATCGACAGTGACTAAACATTGGGCGGAGATTTGTCATTGATAATGACATGTTTCAAATCATTCAAATGCAGTTATTTGCATTATTCTTTGTGGAGTTGCCACACAAACATTGATCGAATCGGTACTAAAAATTATAGTATATATACACACTGGTCTATACGGTTGACGGACGTTTCGACCTAAGTAGAGTTCAATGAGATTATACAAGGGTTGTTTAGTTACTCGGTTTTTGAGTTCGTTTTGCATTTGCGCTTTTCCAAAATTGAAACTTGCACAACCATGACAACGGAGGTACATGCATATCGCTGTTATTGATTCAGACACGTGTACAGTGTACGTGTGCAAAAACATAATGTTTTATTGTTATTTTGCCGACGTCGCTGGTGCTGTTTGATACCAGTAAGTTTGAACCGTGACAACATGGACATTGCTTATCTATGACCGGCGGAGTCCTACACAAAGCGGAATTTTTATATTGATACATCGAAACTTTTTTCGTTGAGCGAATTTTCCTTGGTTTCCTGGTGATATATTTCAATATGCCGAATAATAAAAATAATAATAATAACGTCATATACGTGACATATGAATAATGTAATCTGACCAACATATTGAAAATATATATTCTATTTGCATGAATTACCATTATATTTACGTCATTTCACAGGCCATCCCCGCACAGGACAGCCCAGACAACGACTGCATCGTCAACCACAGAGACGGAACAAAGGACGCCGCGCACGACCCATGATGCACACAGGGACATTATTAAAAAACCCAAGAGACCGATTATAATCACTAAACGGACCATTGCTCAAACAAAAACATTAAAAGCTGTTTATTCAAATACATCTTTTACGAAACAACGTCAAACAAGGATACTTAAACAACTAGAAGATATTGAACTGAAGGACGCGGAGGAATATAATCAAAAGATTGTTGAGAAGGAGAAGGTAGTACGGGACAAACGAGCTAAACAAAGGCAAGCTTTAAAGAGACTTCGGAATAAATTTGACGAAGAGCAGGTACAGCGATTTAAAACTCAGTATGTCACCTGGAAAAGCGTTGAACACGAAAGGCGTGGGCGTAGGAGTGAGATGTACGGACTTCCCGAAACTTTAGACGACGAAGAGCTCACGAAACTTATTGTAAAGAAAAAGAAGGAATCGACAGGGAAAAAGTTTAAGCAACCGGGCACAAGAGAGCAGATATTACGTAAATATGTACACGTTGTGAATCCAAAAGTTGGCAGTGAACATGACATTGATCAGTTTAAAACGTCAAATAACAATGTTATACTCGAAGGAATAAATACAGTGGAATTGGCAAATAAAGGTATGGGAATTTGTAATAGCGCATCTCATAAGGCTCTTTGCAGTCTTTTTGTTAGAAACAATATATATTTGAGTGAAGTTGTTAAAGCGGGGGAGTTGTCACCTGCGCATGCGTCAGATGATCATTGCGTGTCATTGTTTACAAGCATATACCCATGAGCCTTTGCGTTTTTAGCGTGTGTTGTTATCTTCGCTTTGGACCCAATTCCCGTGCGTGCACAGGTGACGACCCTCCCGCTTTAAGTTACTACATCATTGCAGGGCTTTGATAATCTATTAAAAGACAGATGCACGATGGGATATAAATGTAATCGACGGAATTTATCCTGATGTATTTAGTTGAAAGACTATTTGACACTCTTCTTCAGACAATTAGTGTACATGTGTGAACAAAGCTCTAAATAATGTCTCTGGTAAAACGTATTTAATACGCGAATAAAATAAATACGGGAAGTAATTTAACTAAATAACTGTTTTACACGGTAACAAAAAATATATTAAGTACATTCAAAATCAATTAGTTGATTTGTATTTTTCCGATTTTCATTTTAATAATATACAGTAGTGCAATACGCGCTCGTAATTAATGAAACACGCGTATTTAGCTCTACTTAGTTTTCATCACGTGACCAACGCCATGATTATGCGTCATCACCCCCATCTGTAAAATGTTAGACCACTGAGGTAAACACCAAACATTAAACCAGCTTTCTTCCTCGACAGATAACCCAAGTGGGAAAAAGACCAACGTACGTACTGTGATTGGCTCAGCGAAGAGAATGTTATCAGTTCATAGTGACATGGGTAAGTACATCTATTCGATACGCACACATCTCGCATCCTTCGTGTGCACGCGAGACTATAGTAAGGCCAGTGATGTTACTGTCGAGTTCGTGGTTTGCATGCCTCATTCATCACATAACTACTGGTAAAACAAACTATTCCACTGCTGTCGAGAATTGATGAATTTTGACCAATAAAATGGTTGTTGTGAATACGTGGAGCTTAAAGCGCGGTAGTCGTCGCGCTGTGCACACATGTGCGAGATATATGGGTCTCATATAAACAAAGATGGCGACTTTGACTGTTGCGCAGATCAACGAGTACGAACTGAGACGTTTCCAAGCTTTAATTAAGTATTTTTCATGTTATTGGAAGGCATCGAAGGAGTCACGGGCGGTAATCAGTGCAAGTCCGCCCAGGTCAAACCTCATACTTGTGATTTCCATTTGAAGATCGCATTGGATTATGGGAAAATCAATGTTTATCAACACAAATGTGGCACATGCGCAGTGCGACGACTACCGCGCTTTAATGTGTGGTCAATTTGCCGCATATTCGAAGTTGTCGGTACGTTGATCTTATATATCATGCTATAACCTGGTTACATAACGATAACTGCCAGAAATTCTAGAACGCCCATTGACCGATTCAAGACAGCCGTTGTACATTTACATATGCCGACACGAACAAAACAATATTAACATTTTGCTTTGTCTATTTCAGATGCAATAAGCGAAGTGTCATCGATACGAGACGAGGACACCGCCAACGAAGACTCAGATTATATATTCAGTGACAGTGGTCCATAGTTACGACCGCTGGTGGCGTAGTGTACGGTCATTCGCGTATCAGTGTAACCAATCCACGATATGTCCAACTGCAAAGCGTGAAATGTGCCAACCCCATAGACTGTAAATCTACGTGAGCAGCAGTTATCCGTCCATTCCTGTTGTACTAATCGTAGAATGAGGGGAAAAATAGAGCGAAATCTTCCATCGACGCGTATCGCGTGAAGTAATGTGACGTCACTGATCGAATGTCATATTCATAATTCATTAAATCTCTAATACTGAAATTACATTGGCCGTTTTGTAATATTTACACATTAAATAACGTTTTTTACTTACCAATATTCATTAATATAACTTCGAGATTTATTGAAAGCTATGTCACAGCTAAAAGTTGTTATCTGGGTGAATTCTAATCAAACATACAACCACTACCAACGCACGCATTGTCATGTACGAGAACAAGCCAGTAAAAAAAAACATATCATTATTTTAAGTGTATAGGCACACCAGTATTATAATTTAAGAGCGACAACCAACGAAGAAAATTGCACAATTGGTAAAGCTATCCGCAAGTACCACATTTTATAGCCACCAAACATGTGCGTTTGACGTCATATCCTGATGCATCTAATCTTCCTCATTGACCGAGTAGGTTCCTTAAACCGAAAGTTTTCAAAAAATGCTGCAACACCGTCCAATGATGTTTTAAATTCCCTTGGAGTTGTTATTTACAGAAAAAAAACTACAGTCCAAGAATTGAGCTACATATTATGGTTCATGACCAAGTTCGTTTTTTGGAGTTTTCTCGAATTGATATTTTGAACTGTTAATATTATTCATTCATATGTAGTCGAATCATAAATGTGTATGTAATTGTGCAATTTATTTTAAACCGTCTGTTCCCTGACTGGGGGCGATGTAACCGCCTTGGCTGCGGGGAAAAAATATCATCAGAGTTGTTTTTGTGTACTTGTTACGTCACACATATCTTACGTTCGGACTTACAGGTATAAATAATAAAGTAAGAGTGACGTTATCAAAAATTCAGAAATACATGACGTCAGCTAATCAAATCATGAGAAATCTTGAAATAACTGTGCATACTGACGCCATTGGAGTATTTGTCGTCCTATGAATTCAGTGAACGGGTACTAGTATGTCTTTCAACAATGTTTTCAGATATGAGTTCGTCCGTTAAACAAAAAATGTTTTTATTTTTTTATTTTAATTGACCTAGTTTTTATATTAAACGAGTCACCGTGAACTGAGAACACTGTTTTTGTGTGTGTAAAAGTGGTTATGAGAGTGCATGAGTCGGCAAATATCACCTGCTTACACTCGTATGGTCTTCACTGCGCCCTCGCTGATTTGACGCAGTCACGTTCTTCAAAATCAGTCAATGAGGGCGCACAACTTACGTCCGGAATTTTTCAACACTGTGAGAAACACATGCGATTTGATGAATTAGACCCCCAAATATACAGCTATTTTGAGGATACAATTTATATACATATATATATATATATATATATCTGTTCTATTTTTATAGAAGAACCTTCCCAAATAAAAGAAATTCTAAACCATGTACTTTCACACTCAAGCAAGAGAATAGACATGTTGGTGAACTAGCCTTGCACTGTGAGTGTTTTATTGTTTGC